AGAGGACTTTACATTAACTTACAGTAAATTGCTCCAGACTCTAACTTTAACTTCTTCTTTCAGCATCTTAGCTCAAGTCTCATCGTGTGTCAGGTTTTTAGTCTAATTATACTTAAACTGTCCTCGAGACATGAAGGTTAAGACTCGGTACTTGATGTTAATACACACTTTCTCGTGTGTGTCCCTCTCTCTCCTCTGGACCAGAGAAGCTTTCTGACGTGCTGTGACTCTTGTGTTTCAGGTATCTGATGAGGACAGTGAAACATCCCGTTCTGCTGAAGGATCCGGACGTCCTGCAGTTTCTGGAGAGCTCAGATGTAAATAACTCAACAACACGTTTCCCTCTGAGAACGTGAACTTGTAGATGTGATCACGTGTTCAACTCTCTTTTGTCCTTGGTGCTGGTGAAAGTTTAGTTGATCTGTCAGGTGACATCACTCTGTTACTGTTGGTTTCAAACTCACAACAGAAAATCTACAAACCCTGCAGACGACAGTTTTTGGTCCCTGCTTTGTCCGAAGCCACGTTCAGTTTCTGGACTTAAATTTTCACCTGGAGCCTCAAACAATGAGTCAGTTTAACTTTCTATAGAGACAACCAGTGGAGTCGCCCTCTGCTGGTCATCACAGAAAACACAGGATCCAGACACTTCAGCAGTGGCGTCACTTTCAGACTCTATTTTTATAAACTCTATGATTTTTTATCTTTTTGGTTTGTGTCTTGAACCATCATGAGAATTTATAAAATTTTAAAAGATAAACTCCAAACTAGATCGTCTGAGGAGGAGAAACTGATCTGACGACCGATGCTCTTTAACCTGGATTCACTGTTTCCACCCCCCCCACTAAGATTTATCCAAACAAATCCAGTTCACTCAGAATCTTAGTTTGTTCTGTTCTGTAGATTAGATGGAGTCTAACTGAGGCCTTCGACAGTTCGATACACAGACAAACCAGCCGACTGTGTTCAGCCTCCGACGGGACGAAAACAAATGACCTTTCCTCCAGAAAGGCAAAAAACTCTTGTCTCAGTTTTCCCGTCTCTTCTTTTTCCCAAACCAGCAGCGAAATGTCCCAACAAGGTCGAAGCAGCGAGCGTCCGCCTGCGAGCCGAGCCTCTAAAAACTGCCTCAGGGTTTAAGAGCTTGCAACATTTCCTGTTCCCTCACTTTATCGTCCGCTCAAACTAAATCGGCTGCAACATTTCGTCTCGTCTGCTCAAAGTCCCCCCCCCCCCTCGCCGTCACCCTCCTGAGTGTTAGTGGGATTGCGTTGTGAGGGACCCGCCAGTCGTTGGGTCCAGAATAAATGGCCTCGTGTCACCAATTTAACAGATGAATCGCTCGGACGCTTGACCGAGCGTGTCGGTCCGTCCGGCCGCTTAATGAAACACAACCAGAGGAGGGGGGGGGGTACAAATGGGACCAAGCTGCAATTGAAATCTATTTATAAGCCCCCCCCCCCCACCCGCCTCTGCTCATTTACCCTCATCCTTCCATCAGCGAGGGCCTCGGGGACGAAGCCGTCCCCCGGCTGCTGCCGCCCCTGCTAAATGAGCCTGGAGGTGTGTGTGTGGAAGTGTGGGGGGGGGGGCTGCGCCGCCTTTAGAGGAAAACCTCGTTCGTCCCAGAAAAAAAAAACTTTGGCAAAATGAAGAAAAATGAGCCAATTTTCACGTGGACGTCTCGTTGTTCTCAGAGTGACGCGCTGCATTCGCAGGCGTTTTTTTGCAGCTGGTTAAAGTTGCTCGACAAATAAAACGTCTGCATTAAATCTGTTCCGAGCTAAAACGTGGGAGACATTCCAATCAGAGGAGGAGAGGAAAGACCACAGCTCTGTTAGAGAAGAGAGGAGAAGAGAACAAATAGAAAATCTAACAAAACGAAGAAGAATCGTTGAAGTGAAAGAAGAAAAACTGAGCGAGAGAGAAAATCTAAAAATAATTCACTTTGAAATGAGACAAAAATGTGAAAGATTTCAAAAAGTAAAATACTGAAGCACCAGGGAGGGAAAGTACACGAGTCCGTTATTTGTCACGGGAAGTTCAAGTGTCTCAAATGAGGCGAAATTTAATATAAAAAAAAAACAGTGATTGAAAAATAAAAAGTAAGAAATAA